GTGATGGAATTTAAAGAAGATAGCAAGGCATGTGATTACTTGGATTCTCCCATTCTAACTCATAGTGGTGATTTAGGTAGGAAGGAATATGAGGCAAAGCAATTAAGGAGGACAGTTTATAAAGATCATTTTTCATAAATCAATCAATGCAAAGTAGGACAGTGTCTGGTACTGCTGACACATGTAATAAATATTAGCTAGAGGGTCTCGCACTGTGGAATAGTGGGTAAAGCCACTGTCTGCAGTGTTGGCATCCCATATGAGCACCAGTTCTTGTCCCAGCTGCTCTACTTCTGATCCAGCTCTCTGCTATGGCCTGGGAAAGCAGTACAAGATGGCCCAGGTCCTTGAGCCCCTGAACTTATATGGGAGACCTGGAAGAAGCTCCTGGCTCCTGGCTTCACATCTTCTCAGCTCTCTCTGGCCACTGGGGCCATCTGGGGAGTGAACCAGAGGATAGACAACCTCTCTCTCTCTGCCTATGCTTCTTTGTAACTCTGCCTTTCAAATAAATAAATCAATCTTTCTTTTAAAAAAAATTAGCTAGATCCTAACGTCTCTGCTTCTTTGCACAGGTTACTTAGATGCTCTCAGTTTCCTTAACTATAAAATAAGATCAATAGTTCCTACCTCTCATAGATGATATGAGAATTAAATGGATTAATATGCGCAAAGTGCCTTTACACAGTACTGTATTAATTTACTTTTTAGAGAGCCACTCTTTTCCTTTTCCTTCACTATGGTTTCTAAGATTCATTTATGTTATTACTGTAGTTATACTTTATTTGTGTGTATCTGTGTGTGTTTACTATTCATTTGTATGAATATACCACTCCACCACTACTTACCCATTCTCCTGTGAGTTTTGCTTTCAGTTTTTGGTTTTTGCTTTTTGGAGTGTATGAATGAATGTTTGGCTTTGAAAGACAGTACCACAGTGGTTCACATAGTGACTACACAATTCACATGTCCCTCAGAGTATCCTGCTCAACATCTGATTTTGTTAGTTTTGCCAATCTCAAGTGTGTGTGATGCTATCTTACTGCGGTTTGCATTTCTATGATTACTAATAAGGAAGAGCATTCTAATCTGCTTTTTTAGCCATTCATATTTTTGTGCGCTGTCTCTTCATGTCTTCTGTTTGCTTTTTGGCCTGTCTTCTTGAGAGGTCACATGACCCCCCGCTGTTCTTGCCTTAAGAATCATAGAAATTAGTCAGCCTATTAATCCTATAGACCTGTGCTTCTCATGAGGATGACAGTTTACATGAGATAAGAGAGTCTCAGGGCCCACAAATATATTTTCTCAAGAGTCTTCCTTAAGCCCACTGTAGCTAGAGAGAGCGAAAAAGAAGAATTTTTGACAGTTTGTGTTTTGTTTTGCAGATGTGGTTATGTATTTGCACTTATTAATTTGTTTATATAATTTTTAAAAGAAGTAGCATTAAGTAGTTCTGTTGTAATAATAACCATTTATTGAGCACTTCTGTTCTAGCTGCTATGCTAAGTACTTTACATGTACAATCTGAGTCTTTTCTAAGATTTTATTTATTTATTTATTTGAAAGGCAGAGAGACAGAGGGAGGAAGGGAGGGAGGGAGGGAGAGAAAAAGTGTCTTCCATCTGCTGCTTCACTCTCCCAGTTGGCCGCAACAGCTGGAACTGCACCAATCTGAAGTCAGGAGCCAGGAGCTTCTTCCAGGTCTCCCACACAGGTTCAGTGGCCAAAGGATTTGGGCCATATTCTACTGCTTTCCCAGGCCATAGCAGAGAGCTGGATTAGACGTGGAGCAGCCGGGACACTAATTGGCGCCCATGTGGGATGCTGACACTGCAGGTGGTGGCTTTACCTGCTATGCCACAGTGCCGGGCCCTGATTTCAGTCTTTGTAATAGCTTTTGATAGTCATAAAATAGGTGCTACTATTATTATTTTCCAAATGAGGAAATGGAAACCCTGAAAAATTAAATAACCTGTTCAAGGAGGAATTGCTACTAAATATAAAAATGGATTTCAACTTGAGGCAGTCTGACTCCTAAAGCCATCCACAGGAAGTATAAAGGGAAAATGCTGTGGGTGCCCAGAAGCTATGCAGGGAGTTGATGAGCATCTGGGGTTCACTGAGCAGGGAAGGAAATGAAGATGGGAAGGTAGATGAAAGAGCTGAAACACCAAGACTAGAAATTACTAGGAAGCCAGGGGAGTACCAAAGGCCCTGGGACAGCTGCTTGCAGAGGTGTGAAGACATTTTGAAGTGCAATGTTTTCATAAAATCTGGGTAAACATCAAGTTAGTATTATGCCACAGGCTTGAATTGTGTTAAGGAGGAATAGAGACAAAAGGCTCTGGACTCTTTTTGGAGAAGCCATGAGTCACAGATGCTGAAGCAGTCTGAGGTAATGGCCAGCAGGAGTTCGGCAGTATTTGTGAGCCAAGTGCTGAAGCTTTCTGTGAGTTAGGGCAATGATCTAGAAGCCGGCAGATGGTGGTGATTGCGCTGCTTGCTCTAGCATGAGACTCAGAAGGCAAAAGGCGGGGAGTGGGTAGGAGTGGAACCACCTGAACGTGGCAGCTAGAAGTAAGCAGAATGCCAGCACTGCTTCCAAACCTCTCAGCATGTTGGCCGTGGGAGGAACAAGCAGCTTTTGCTTGTCAAGGCTCAAGGGAAATGATGCCAGGTTTCAGTGAAGGCCAAGAAAAGAGGGCTCTGTGAGGAGGTTGAGGGTGTAGAGGGCTTATAATGACATTGTGGTTTTTACAGCGGAAACTGTCAAAGGAGGTCAACGTGGTGGGAAAAGCAGCCTGGGACAGTTTGGGTATGAGTAAAAAGAAACTATTGCTTTGAACATAACTAATAAGAACAAGGATGGGTGGTGCAGATGAGCAGGACTAGCCTTGAGATTATAAGAAAATAATTACAAGCGAATTTGAAAGGAAACCAACATTAAGATGTCGGTTGCTGATTGACCTCCTAGCTGTTTCCTTTTGCTTTAGGGGAGAAAGTGACTCTGATGCTACTAGAACACTTGTGAGACAGACCCCTCTCTTATACACCAAGTAAATTATCCTGGATAGGGCCAGTGTTGTGGCACAGTATGTAAAGCCGCCTCCTGCAATGCTGGCATCCTGTATGGGTGCTGGTTCAGGTCCCGGCTGCTCTGCTTCCAATTCAGCTCCCTGCTAATGGACGGGAAAGCTGCAGAAGTTGGCTCAACTGTTTTGGACCCTGTCATCCTGTAGGAGACCAGAATGAAGCCCTTGGCTCCTAGTTTCAGGCTGGCCCAGCCCTGACCATTGCAGCCATTTGGAGAGTGAACCAGCAGATGGGAGAGAGATGTACCTTTCTCTCTTTCTCTCTCTCTCTCTCTCTCTCCCTCCCTCCCTCCCTCCCTTTTTTTAAAATAAATCCTAAAAAAAAAAAAATTAAAAATTCTGGACTGACCAAGTCATCTTCCTTGTCCCATCTTCTCCATTTCTAAAATAGAGATAATAACATCATCTCTGAGATTTCATGAGAATCAAATAGATTTATATGAAGTGCATTAGAAAATTATAAAATTCTAAATGTACATTAGAATTACTGTTCGTCACAGCAACTTTTGTTAATGCTGAATTCCTTATCAGAAATGCAAGATGTAGGTATGCTTTGTTCTTTTAAAAAAATTACATTCTATGCTTTATATGAGGAAATGGCTTTTAAGAAAGCATTATGTCAAAAAGCAGAAGTGTTGGGGTGAAGGTTTAGCTTAGAGTTTAGGACTCTGGGTCCTCTATCAGAATGCCTGAGTTTGTAGCTCACCTGACTCATCACTCCAGCTTCTTGCTAATACAGACCTGGGGAGACAGCTGTGATGGCTCAATAATTGGGTCCCTACTACCCATGTGAGAAGCCTAGACTGAGTTCCCTGCTCCCATCCCAGCCCCAGCTATTGTGGGCATTTGAGGAATAAAAGAGTGGATAGGATCTCTTTGTGTTAGAAAATGTCTTATCTGTGGCACCTCCTTAAGACCTGGGTGCCATCTTAGGCTCTGGCCCCCAGACCCATCTTACACAGTAAGCTTCAGTTCTAAGCCCCGCCTGGCTTGCTAGAAGTCAAGTCACCAAACGTCCCAACCAGAAGCATCAGCTCCACCCCTACCCTAACAGGATTTGCTGCTCCCACTTCCCTACCTTCTGCAAGGCTATAACAGGACCTGCTTCCTGCACATGCGCTCTTGACTTCTCTCTCTCGACCCCCCTCTCTTTCCACCCTCTCTCCCTTTACCCCAGCCTGTCGGGTTTCCTCCACCCGACAATAAACCTTTCCTTCAGCTCTGGTGTTTGGTGTGTTTTGTGGTGGCCTTACACTTTGTCTGTATCTCAAATAAATAAACTTAAAACAGAAGTGTCCTACTTTTCAGACAAGTGAGTAAAATAATTCATCAGGGCAATAACAGAGATGAGGAAGTTGTCGTAAGGAGGAGTGGTGTTTTTCTTCCATCTTTCTCTTCATTACAAATGATTTACAGTTTCTGCTTAAGAACAACAGATCAAGACTTCTCTTAAAGTCCCTTAGCAAAGCTCAAAGAGCCACAAGTCTAGATTTTGGGCCACCTGCCAATGTTTGTTCCAAGGGAGCTGTAAGTTGAGCAAATTAATGGCCAGAAACTGGAAATTTCTCTCCTTTCCCCTACGTAAGTGCTCCTCCTCGCCTTCCTTTGCCCAGACCTTTCACCTTCCACCCTCAATCCAACAGATGGAAACCAACAGTACCCCACACAGCCATGTTAGCCTTATTTCATTTTTGTTTTTCTTAAAGAAGGGAGAAATCATTTACTTTTTTAACCTTTGAAAACATCTAATATTTTTGCAACACTGCTAAAATAGCAAAAAAAATTATCCTTATCCACTAAATATAATCCAGGGGAGGTCTCTGTATTCATGTCCAGGAAATCTCCATACAGGATATGAGAAAGGAGTTGCTTATTGTGAACATGGTATTTGATCAGATTTGAACTCACCAACATACTTTCCACATCCTCACTGTACGATGGAAAGAAAGATGACACTGTATCAGTAAATGTCTTGTGTCTTCTGATATCATGGCAGAACAACTCAAAAATTTATAGAATGAGATCATCTATAAAACAACAAAAAGGAGGCATCAAGCCCTAGTTTATCCATCCAGAGACCAGTGTTAATGGATCCTTTCCGTCACTGTCTTCCAAATCCGTATGCATATTTAACAAACATGGAATATCATGCTATCGTCTAACTTCTTTTACTTAGACATGTGTCATAGCACAGTAGCTAAAAACACAGGTTCCTGGCCGGTGCCGTGGCTCACTAGGCTAATCCTCTGCCTGCGGTGCCGGCACCCCAGGTTCTAGTCCTGGTTGGGGCGCCAGATTCTGTCCCAGTTGCTCCTCTTTCAGTCCAGCTCTCTGCTGTGGCCCGGGAGGGCAGTGGAAGATGGCCCAGGTCCTTGGGCCCTGCACCCGCATGGGAGACCAGGAGGAAGCACCTGGCTCCTGGCTTCAGATCAGCGCAGTGTGCTGGCCGTAGCGGCCACTTGTGGGTGAACCAATGGAAAAAGGAAGACCTTTCTCTCTCTCTCTAACTCTGTCAAAAAAAAAAAGTACACAGGTTCATGTTAGAGTGCTTGAGTTTGCAGTTTTGCTGTCACTAATGGGATGGCACTGCGTAAATTCCTTAACTTCTCTGCAGACAGGGATGGAGGTTTTGGACAGAAAAATGACAAAATCTACAGCTACAAGAGTTAGGTTGCCATCAGACAAAATCAGAAGTCTATGAATAAAATGTTTGTAGAGATTAGCAGTTCAATCTATGGGCCCCTGAGTGAACACATCACGTATGCAGTTGGATTTTTACTTGGAGAGAATTATGAGCAGAGTTAGAAATGTGGGAGTCAGGGCATCAAGATGGAGCATGGAGATTGGACAAAATCATGGAAGTAATTGTAGACAGGCAAGACCAGGGATTGAGGACTGGAACATTTGGGCACTAAGAACTGAGAGGGGAGATAAAAAGAGAGCAGAGGAAAAGTTTAGGAGGAGTGCAGAAAACCAAGAACAGAGTGACCTGGAAGCACATGGAAAAGGTGCATAATAGAGGCAGACTAGTAAAATGTGCCAGATGCTGCTGATATGTCAGAGAGGAAAAGGACTGGAAATAAACCTTGAATTTGGCAACGTGGCCACTTACCATCTCCAACAGCACTTTGAGTGCAGTGAAAGCTTTGAGGAAGAGTAGTTTTAGGAGAGAACTGGAGGAAAGAAATTGTAGAGTAACAAATGCTATCGGGTCCTGATTGGGAAAGTCGGTATAAAAAAGTTTTCATTTTAACGTGGGAGAAATGATAGCATGTTTGTAGGTGGATTGTAACGATTTCAGTAAAGAGAATAAAATCGATGACACCGGATGTTAAAAGGGGAATTTCTGGAATGATGTCCTTGAGTGGGCAGGAGAAGATGGGATTTAGCGTGACTGAAGGAATTAGCTTTGATGTGAGCACAGACTGTTTATCTTTCATAACAGTCAGAAAGGCCAAATATATGAGTCATCAGTTTGGAAGGAGTCTGTTCTCTTCTGATTACTTCGATTTTTTTCATTACATCCGTTTTCCTTGTTCATGGCAGTTACACAGGAAGTGTCAAGACTCCCAAGATGCCCCTCATTTCCAGTCTTCTAGCTTTCATAAAGCTTGTACTTCCTGTAAGTGTTCTTCTCCCTTTCTCACTCCTGAAACTTTTCCACTTATCTTTAGGAATGTAGAAGGCATAATTTCAACTGTGTATGACAATGTTTGTTTATTTACACAATAACAATACTGAATGGTAAGGAATTTTTGCAAATCTGATAGTGAAAAATGTTTTTCATTATTTAACTTGAACATCTCTGGGTTTCTACTAAGGTTGGGTATATTTTCCATATATGTGTTGACTGTACTTTTTCTTTTACTGAATAACTTTCATATAAGCTGCTTACTTTTCATGTTTTTTTTTTTTTAATATTTATTTGAAAACCAGAGTTACAGTGAGGTATGGAAAGAGAGATTTTTTTATCCCCTGGTTAATTCCCCAAATGGCCACATGACCAGGCCTAGGCCAGGCTGAGAAAAGAGCTTCATCCAGGTCTCCCATGTGGGTGCAGGGGCCCAAGCACTTGGGCCATCCTCTGCAGCTTTCCCGGGCACATTATCAGAAGTGGAGAAGCTGGGACTGGATATGAATCAGAACTGAACTAGAGCTAGATTAGAAGTGGAGCAGCTGGCACTCACATGAGATGCAGGCATCGCAGCAGGTGGCTTAACCTGCTGTGCCACAGAGCTGGCCCCAGCTGCTTATTTTCCTATGGCAGCTTTTTTCTCTTTCTGGTTGTTCGGTTGAAAACTCTTCCTATGTTAGGATTACTAATCCTATTTCTCCTGAACACTGCAAATAGTCTTACTCTCCCCCCCTTCCATTTCCCTTTGATTTTCAATGCAGCTTTTGACATTTATGGATATTGTTCAAAATGTTTATTTTATATCCATCAGTAATTTATTTTATAGAATGTCGCTCCCCCTCTTCGTGGAGGAACGACACAGGACCCTGCACTGTTCTTTCGTCTGCTCGGCCCTCCCCGGGTTTGCTGCTGGTTCTTCCCGGGTTGGCTACTATCCCTTCCACCTCCGTGGAAGGGCAGTTCCCCCTGGCCGCATTCCCCACTTCCGCAGGGGAGCGGCACACCGCCGGCCGGCTTTCTCGGGGGCTGCACAGGTGTTCCTTCAGCTAGATGTTCCCCTTAGGTGTTCCTGGTGCATGCCGTCTCTCTCCTCCTTTATAGTCCTCCTCCGCCAATCCTAACTCGGCTGCCCACACGCCGAGTACGCTGCTCTCCTCCAATCAATAGCAAGTCCTACAGTTTATTAGTTGAACTGGAGGCAGCTGTGCGGAAGCTGTTTACTTCTCTCCCAGCGCCATATTGTGGGAGAGCAGATGCATAGAATAAGTCTTAATTCCAGTAACTCAGTCTAGTCCGGTTTGCTCCCCACAATAGAATTCATTTTAGGCACTTATGTCTTTTGCTTTCTACCCCAAGACAAAATTTTCACCTACATTTTTAAAAAATCTGGCTTCATTTTTTTTTACACTGACATAAATATTTCATCAGTAGTATATCTGGGTGTTAAAACATGATGCATTTTTTCCCCCTTGAAATGGTGGCCAGTTGTTTCAATTATCTTTATGTGTTAATACCTTATACTGGAAAGCTTCACTGCTCCCTTCCTTACTGAAGTTACCACCCAGCTGGCAGTTTCCTGCTGAGGGTAATTCCCTGGGGAGTGCTCTTAAGAAAGGATTTGGGGGCCGGCTCTGTACAGTAGCAGGTAAAGCTGCTGCTTGCAGTGCCAGCATCCCATATGGGCACCCAGTTGCTCCACTTCTGATCCTGCTCCCTGCTGTTCTGCCTGGGAAAGCAGCAGAGGATGGCCCAAGTGCTTGGGACCCTGTACCTATATGGGAGACCTGGATGAAATCCCTGGCTCCTGGCTTCTGCCTGGCTCAGCCCTGGCCATGGTGGCCATTTGTGCGGAGTCTACCAGTAGCTAGAAGATCTCTCTCTACCTCTGCCTTTCCTTCTCTGTAACTCTTTCAAATAAATAAATAAATCTTTAAAAACAAAATAAAAGAAAGGATTTGGTTGTCAATTGGGTTTTGGTCCAAGGCAGCCTCTTAGCTTCACAGCAGCTTGCCAGAAACAGCTCCATCCAGAAACCTGCTATTACCTGGTACCTGAAGCAGTGAGAAAAAGAACATTACTCACTTAGCGTCAGGGAGAGAAATGAGAATGAACAATAAGAAAAGTTGAGCTTGAAAGAACAATAGCAGCAGCTACACCACCAGTGCTGCCATTGAGAAAATGGAATTTCAGCTTCCATTTCCTTTGTGTAAAATCCTTCCCTGGCTGGTGCCGCGGCTCACTTGGCTAATTCTCCACCTGTGGTGCTGGCACCCTGGGTTCTAGTCCCGGTTGCTCCTCTTCCAGTCCAGCTCTCTGCTGAGGCCCGGGAAGGCAATGGAGGATGCCCCAGGTCCTTGAGCCCTGCACCTGCATGGGAGACCAGGAGGAAGCACCTGGCTCCTGGCTTCGGATCGGCGCAGCACACCGGCCACAGTGCACCGGCTGTAGTGGCCATTTGGGGGGTGAACCAATGGGAAAGGAAGACCTTTGTCTCTCTCTCTCCTCACTGTCTAACTCTGCCTGTCAAAAAAAAAAAAAAAAAATCCTTCCCTTCAGAGACCCAGAAGAAGATCCAGGCTCCTGGCTTCGAATCGGCACAACTCTGGCTGTTGCAGCCATCTGGGGAGCGAACCAGCAGATCAAAGCTCTCTCTCTCTCTCTCTGCCTCTCTATAACTCTGCCTTCCAAATAAATCAATAAATCTTTTTTTTAAAGAAATCCTTTCCTTCATTCATTCACATGATTTTTCCATTGCCCATTTTGAGGCAGCTAGGCTGGATGTTATAGTAAAAAAGGCCATGTCCCACCCACAGAGAAGCTACTGCCTCATGTAGGAAACATCTGTCCCAGGTATAGGATGCAAACAGCACACAACAATAGAACAGTTTAACAGTGCATGAATAGGCAAATCAACATGTCAGAATACAAAGCATGGAAATGGAAGCGTGGGTATAAGAATCTGAAATGTAATAAAGGTAGAGTTGGAAAGATGGTGAGTATAACATAAGCTTTCTTGGGTTAATAGGAAGGGAGACACCTAAGTAGGTGAACTAACATGATACTTACCTTGCACTGGTGACAGTCACTCTGCTGTCATTCCATCATCTCTACTTTTGGTCTTCATCAGTGTAGCTTATGGTCTCTGATTTCCTTTGTGTACCTTTGCTTTTTTTTTTCCTGCGAATAATGTGTTCAGTCTGTTTATATCCGCTGCCTTAAATTTCTTTACTTTCAATCTCTCATAAACCCAACTGGAATCAGGCTTTCTCTCCAACTCCACCACTAAAACTATTTTACCAGCTTTTCCAATGATGTCTGTCCCAGTTTCTCCTTTTTCATCCTGACAGCAGCTTTGACATAGATGAGCACTGCCTCTAACTGGAAACACACTGCTTTGCCTCCAGGGCACCACTCCTGGTTCTCCTCTTGTCTGACAGTATACTTTCCTCAGTCATACCTGACCATCTCTCATTTCTCTGATTTCAAAATGCTAGAGTGCTGTAAGCTCAGTCCTTGGGCCTTTTTTCTACTTGTACTTACTCTTTTGGAGATCTCTTCTAATTTCATGAAGGCGAATGTTCTGCATGCTGAAGAATCTAAGATTGAAATCTCCAGCATAGACTTCTCCCTTAAACTTTAAGCTCATATGTCTGATCACCAATGACACTGCTGCTTAGGTCAAATAGGGATCTATAGTACATTGTATTATTGTTCACAATATCTGTTGTCTTTCCCAGGGATAGGACTGCATTTACCCTGTTCTGTTGATATCAGGTAGGCCATGTGACTTGCTTTGCAAAGTCAGTGACATGAGTGAGTCACTTCTGAGAAGAAGCCTTAAGATCCATCATGGGACTCCATTGTGTTCTTTCCTCCCTCTGTCCTGATACCAGAAACACCCCAGACAGAGGCTGTTTCTTCTGTCTAGGTCTTGAGATAAGTCCACAAAGCCAGAGCTGACTGATGATGGACACAAATGAGAGTAAGAAATAAACCTTTTTGCTTTAAGGCATTAACATTTTTGGAATGCAGCAAACTTAGCCTACACAGATTAAAATAGTATTTCACATTAACATACCCAGAACCTAATGCCTGATTTTCCCTAGCCACTTGCTCCCTGCAAACCTGCTCTTCCCACAGAGTTCCCCATATGGGAAGTGTCAGCTTCAGCCTTGCAGTTTTTAGACTAATAACCTTGGAGTTGTTCTCGACTATTCTCTGAATCTCAGTTTCCATATATAGATCATGGGGACACATCAATGCACAAAACAGACACAAAAATAAAAATTTCTGTTGATACTCCATTCCTCGGGGGTGAAGAAGATAACAATAAAAAAACTACAGTAAACTAAATTTGTTGTATATACAATATATAATACATATTACTACATAACAGTAAATATTTAAACATGTAAAAGGTAATGCATGCAATGGAAAAAATAGACCAAGGTAAAGAGATACTACTAGGGATGAGGGTGAGAGGATAGGGTACAAGGACTATCAGGGTTGATTTCATTGTGAAAGAAATATGTGAGCCGAGACTTGAGAACTGCAGAACTCTTGGCACACAAAAACACTGTCCACACCTCCGTACTCAGCTGATGAAATTTTAACAATGCTTCTCACAGCATACGTTCCGGTCCCTGGGATGCCCCAGCAAACCCCACTGCAATGTCAGGTGAATTTATAATGTTTGTTCTAGCCAACCCTATCATCAAGATACGCCCTTTCCCTTCTCTTGAGTAATTACTAAAATGGGCTTACAACCATGTATCTGTATCCCCTGTACTCAGAAGTTATCTTTCTCAAGGACAAGAAAGCCATTCCTTTGCAATGTAATCATGAGGAGGGACAGGGCCCGTCTCCCAGTTACTATGGGATGACAAAATCTCCCAGCCGGCCTAGTCACACTTGCACTGACCAACCTTTTACAACATTTCACTTCTTTCATTGATTCCTAACCCACAACCCATTCTTCCTCCCTTTAAAACACCTAATCATAAAAGCATAAATAAAAATTGAGCTCAACATCACCCATACTAACAGTAGTTATTGAATAAAATCCGTATCACCACTTTAATGTTCAGCTGTGTTTATATTTGACAGACTTGAAGGAGTTGAAAGGAGTACAGAGGCCTGTAGTAGACAGCGTTACAAGGAAAGGGACAACCAGGGCAGAAGCTCAGATATGGGGGCCTGCCATACTCCTTGTTACTCCAGTAACAAGGAGTCTAGTGTGTCTGTAGCAATGACAAACATTGGTGGCAGCTGGTATCTGAATGTAATAGGGTAGGCAGATATCATATAATTTAGCATTTCATGACCTATTAGGGGTGAATACTTGAGCTTTTAGTCTCAATGGGATAGGGAACTACTGGGGGATGTTAAGGAGAGGAAGGACATGATCTTTCATTTTACTTCTTAATATTTGTATTTATTTGAAAGACAGAGAACGAGAGATATCAAGATCTCTTTCATCAACTGGTTCACCTCCTAAATGGCAGCAACAACAGCCAGGGCTGGGCCAGGCTGATGCCAGGAGCCAGGATCTCCATCCAGGTCTTCCATGTAGACAGTGGCTTAACACACTGGTTTACAATATCTGCTAAATATCTGCTGTGAGGTTTACATTTTTAAAATAAGTTTTAGTTATTTATTTGAAATGCAGAGTTACAGAGAGACAGAAAGAGAGAGAAAGAAAGGTCTTCCATCTGATGGTTCACTCCACAAATGGCCACAATGGCTAGAGCTGGGCTGATCTGAAGCCAGGAGCCAGGAGCTTCTTCTGGGTCTCCCATGTGGATGCAAGGGCCCAAGAATTTGGGCCATCTTCCACTACTTTCCCAGGCTATAGCAGAGAGCTGAATTGAAAATGCAGCAGCCGGGATTCGAACCAGCACCCCTATGGGATGCCGGTACAACAGGTGGCAGTTTTACCATTACACCACAGCACTGGCCCCTGAGGCTTACATTTAAAAAGTTCCACTCTAGGTGCAGTGTTGAGACTAAACAGTAACATGGAGTCAGAGGGTAGGCTTAGAAGCAGGAGTCCAATTAAGAGGTTATTAAAATAATCATATGAGGGATGATGATGGCTCCGTCAAGGGTGAGAACAGTGACAACGTATGACTCTGGATGTACTTTAGAGAATTTACTGACAAACTGGATTTTAGGAATTAAAAAAAAATCAGGCCTGATTTCAGTTTTGTCCTGAATAACTAGCAGAATGGGGCTTCTTTCAACTGAGAGACAGTAGCAGGTTTGCTGGAGGAAGCAAGGAAGAGCTCTCATTTCAGGGAAGAGTTCTACACTACACATTTTAATTTGGGAGTCACTGGCAAATATATGTTGTTGAAAGCCACTGACTGCATAAGATGATCATGAGAGTACAACTAAAGAGAAGAGAACCTAGGACCAAAGCCACCCAACAAGAAGACAGGCTTAGAAGAGGAGGCAGCAAAGCAGACTGAAAGGAAAAGCCAATCAGAAAGGAGGAAAAGTCACTAAGTATGCTATGATGGAAACCAAGAGAAGAAAGTCTGCCAAGGGGAAGAAAATGACTAACTGTCTCTGAAAAGCTGAGGACTAAAAAGTGACCATTAGATTTAGCAACATGGAGGTCACTGGTGACCTTGACAAGAGTTATTACAGACAGAGGTGGCAGCAAAAGCCTGGAAGGAGGCAGTGAGATAGAACAGAGGCAGGATTTGAGTTGGTCCAAGCAATTTCTTCGTGTTTACAAAAAGAAGCTCTGGCTCTCAGTTCTTCACTGAGATGCCTGCCTGGTCTTTTCAATGAACTCAGCTAGCGTGCTTACGGACTCTGTCCCATGTCTGAAATTCTTTTCTTGCATGAAGACAAGAACTTCTGATTAGGGGTCTCCTAGAACAAAAGGACTTAGATCTAGAATATGTATTTTAGAAAACCACTTACTATCATGTTCTCAAAACCGTGTATATGAAATTTGTTCCCTTTATATAAATAAAATATAAAAATTTTAAAAAACTTCATATGTAAGGCATACGAAGCATTTGGGGCCAGTGTCGTGGTGTAGTGGGTAAACTTGCTGTCTGAGCCTCTGGCATCCTTTATGGATGACACTTTGAGTCCCGACTATTCCACTTCCAATCCAGCTCCCTGCTGATGGCCTGGGAAAGCAGCAGAGGATTGCCCAACTACTTTGGTCCCTACCACCCAGTGAGAGACCCAGAAGAAGATCCTGGCTCCTGGTTTCAGCTTGGCCCAGATCCAGCCATTGTGGCCATGTGGGGAGTGAACCAGAGGATGGAAAATTTCTCTCCCTGTCTCTCCCTCTCTGTCCGTAACTCTTTCAAATAAACAGACACATCTAAAAAAAGAGAAAAGGATATGTCTCCAGAATATTTAGGGAACACATAATTCAGTAAGAATCCACATTTGAAAAAATGGGCAAAAAGTTTGAACATTTTATGAAAGAAGACACACAAATGACAAATAAACACATGAAAGACGCTCCTTGGTTTTCAGGGAAATTATAGCAGCTAAACTGTTCAGTGGGACACCCACATCATATGAGTGCCTGGGTTCAAATCTCAACTGTGCTTCCAGGTCCAGGCTCCTGCTAATGTACACCTTGGAGGGTAGTGGTGATGGTTTCTAGTGATTTCATCCCTGCCACCCACATGGGAGAAATGGATTGATTTATAGGCTCCTGGCTGCGGCCTGGCCCAGCCCCAACTATTGTGGATGGAGGATCTATCTCGGTTTCTCCGTGCCTTTCAAATAAAACTTTAATAAATAAAAGGAAGTCTGTTTTCAAAAAAGTTTAGTGGGTTCTGGGGACAGATAAACCTTTCTCTGCACTTTCTCACTACCAACCAGTCTTCTGTTGATGTCAAGAAAACAAAGAAATAACTTAGGAAGTTATTGTACTAGTCAAGGTGAGGCACAAGGAATCATTGGCAGTGAATTTCTGGAATATCTGAGACGGTCAACAGGGCACCACATTCACTTGGCTGGGTGGAATATGAAAGGCTACCTTTTTTTTTTTTTTTTTGAGAGAACGAGAAGAGGGAGTGAGGGAGACACACAGACAGACAGACAGACACACACACTCTATCTGCCCATTGACTCCCAAAATGTCCCCAGTGGCCCCAACCACCTGAGCTATCCTTGCTGACTCCTAGGGTCTGCATGGGCAGGAAGCTGGGGTGCCCAGCTACTCTAACCTTTAGCATAACGCAGGCGTCTAACCTTTAGCATAACACCTGCTCCTAGGCCCTAATTTAGATTTAGCTAGTACTGTCGACAACAACAAAAAGAAAACCGAGACGTCAGGTTCAGGTTCACACATTCTGAGCTTATGCTAGTAAATATGTAGCACCACACGTGATCTATACTGAAAAGGCTCTAGAAATTTTGGCCGTCCTCTTACAACCTATGCATGTTTAAAATCAACCTTTAAGAACACTTGAGAAAAATAAGGGTGACACTCGTACTCTTCTGATACTCTGCCGTATGACGGGACTCGCAGGAGCGGCGATCAGAATACCCACCAGGCTTCACTCGGCAGACGTTCGGCGCCCCAGTGATGTCACCCGACGCACGGCGCGCTCCTCCATCTCGGCGGACGTCGTGCGTCCTTACCAACGAGGCGCCGGGGGCGGGCGACTCCAGGTAATGTCCTCGCTCGCCACCTAGTGGCTCCCGGAGGCGCCTTTCCTCTACCGGCGGCCTGGATCAGCGCATGCGCCCACCTTCCTGCCCGCTCCACCTCCAGGCGAAGGGCGACGCCTCGAGATAAAAGCGAGTAGGTGCGGGAGGCGGCAGCTGCGCGGGCCTAGGGGTCCCGGAAAAGCCAAAACTCTGTTCTGTAGGGACCGGCGCGAAGGCAGCCGGGGAGCGGGGGAGCTGACGCATGGAGCCGAGTCCCGACTGTGATGCAGCAGTCACTGCAGGACCTAAGGCGTCCTCCACGGAGACGTCCGCGGTCGCCGCCAAGTCCTCGGAACCCGAGGACTACCACAGCAAGTGCGTGTTCTGCCGGATCGCCCGGCAGCAGGAAACCAACACCGAGCTCCTGCACTGTGAGGTGGGCGGCGAAGCGCGGCCGGGCCACGGGAGGCCCGAGTTGGGGCGCTCCCGAGGCGGAGCAGTTTGTGCGCTGGGGTTGGGGAGCCGGGGCTCTGCCCAGCCCTGCAGACGGCCCCAGTGTCCCCGAGTCCCCCACCCTTGCTTCGCCCCGGGGCCGGTTCATGTCCCCTAGAGCTATCTCTGAAGTTAGGAGAAGGGGAGAGGTGGTGCCAGCGGGACCTGGCCTAAAATGGCACTTTGTGGCTTGTGCGTTAATTACACGGATTCCCCCTAACTCCCTTCTAGATGCGAGTTTTGATTCGGATCACTTTAAGACTGATACTGAAAACTACTGGAAAATAAATCATGGCAATTGTGAAAAGCTGAGTCTCAAGTCCAACCATTGCTTAACAACCTCTGATTTCCCCTGAAATGTTGTCACTGGGGATGTGTGGTAATCCGAGCCCTGAGCCTTTGCCAAGATATTGTAAAACAGATAACCTGATACACACCTGATTTCACTGGTGCCACTTTAGAAAAACAACCTTTTGGGAGAATCAGCGACAAAGATAGTGTCCGTTGTAGTTAGCCTTCCCTCCTTGCTTAGAAACAGATTGAATTCCATCAACCACCTTGTTTTGGAGATCCAATTGGAGAAGACAGTAAAGGCCAGTTTGTATAGAGGTTTTATCTTTGTGTGTGTGTGTGTGTGGTTGTTAAGATTTATTTATTTGAAAGAGAGAGGCAGAGAGAGAGAGAGAGAGATCTTCCATCCACAGGTTCACTCCCCAAATGGCCACAATGGCCAAGGGCTGGGCCAGGCTGAAACCAGGAGCCAGGAGCTTCATCTGGGTCTCCCATGTGGATGCTTGATCCCAAGCACTTGGGCCTTCTTCCACTGCTTTCCCAGGCCATAGCAGAGAGCTGGATCGGAAGTGGAGCAGCCAGGACTCAAACCTGCACCCACATGGGATGCCAGCGCTGCAGGCAGCAGCTTGATCTGCTATGCCACAACACTGGCCCCAGGTTTTTATCATCTTAAAAGGCAGAGTGAATACAGAAGAGACAGTTGATTACCAGGCCCCGTGCATTTTAGGTGTTTTGTGAGCCCGCGGAAGGGGCAGCTACCCAGATTTGAGGGGTTGGGGAAGGCTTTCCAGAGCAAGTGAGCCCTAAGTAGGAATTGACCAGATAAGGAGGGGAGGAAACCATGTCCTAGCTGGAGAGAACTTTATCCAGGGGAACATACATTGGCCAACCAGCAAGGGAAACCCCACAGTGCTTTGTGCTGGGGTGAGGAGTTGCCTGAAGGGTTTTATTCTTTGATGTATCCTTCCACCACCCTGGTGGGGAATGGTTTGGGGAGGACCAGAATGGCCGTAGGGTGTTCTGTTAGGAGGCAGTTGGAGTAACACAGCCTGATGATGCCTTGAAATCAGAATGTGGTAGCAGGGACAAAGGTGGATCAAAGTAAGAGACTTCGGTGGTGAAATAGGCAGGACTTGCTAGTGGAGATGAGTCCGTGATTTCAGCTGCAGGCAGTTATGTCTTCTGGGTGGCAGGGACTTCTGGCAATGCTTTGAGATCCTTTTGGTGGTACACACTGTGTGCGTGTGGGAGCAGGGGAGCTACTGTCCCCTAACAAGTAGGGGCAAAGGTTTTTGTTATTGTGCATTGCACAGGACAGCCTCCCATCACAAGGAATTACCCAGCCCCATAGGTAGTGCTGAGGTTCTGAATCCTTGATGTAGATTTGGCAGAATGAGGAAGACGAAGAGAAGGAAGTGGAAAATGCTTTCTGGCTAGAGTAAACTGATAGTGGTGGCACCTTGTCATCAAGATTAGGAACACAGTAGAAGCACTGGTGGCCAAAGCGATGAGTTTGGTTGTGGAGTTGAGAGTTTGAGGTGAGTGTGAGGTAGCGAGCAAAGTAAAGTCTGTGAAATGGTTGAATAATCTGGCCCTCCAGAGAGAGATCTGGGTTCCTTGCTTAGATTACAGGAACTGATTTTGTAGATGGAAATTGAAAAGAGATGCGTCCCCTAGGAAGTAGAAAGCAGTGAAAGGGAGTGAAAACACTGACGTGGTCAGGGACAGGCAGAGGATGAGGACCTGCAAAGGGAAGAAAGCTAGCGAAGCAAAGAAAAGGGGGTGTGCCAAGGAGCAAGGAGTTGTCTGCGGCATCAGCCTTCCCTAATCCTCGGAGCTGGGTGAGCTGGCCTCTGTGTGCTTGCAGCGAGGCCACACGAGATCACAACGGGCTCTGTCCCCAAGACGGTGGTCCTAGACCTTGAGAGCAGTTGCAGTGCAGTGGTGAGGCCCGAGGCAGTGAGAGTGGACTGAGAGGGACTTGTGGGATGAAGGAGTGGAGACAGCCAATGTAGATTACAGAGCCGAGCTCTGGAGCTAGGGCGAGCGGAAGAAGCGCAGCAACTGATGGCCAAGCACTGTGGTGAGAGCCAGCAGCCAGCGGTGGCCCTGAGTGACCGACAGTGGCCGAGGAAGTGTCCTGGGAACCGGTGGCAGCATGTGGGCGGCAGTGCAGGACCAGTGCAGAGTGGCAGCCAGTTGGGGCAGATGGCATCGTGGATGGCATCATGGACGAGAAGGTGGACCAGTGGATTGAGCAGCTGCTCAAGCAGCTGAATGAGCGCAAGCAGCTGTCTGAGTCCCAGGTCAGGACCCTCTGTGAGAAGGCTAAGAAATCTGGACAAAAGAATCCAATATGCAAGAGTGTGTCCAGTCACCATCTGAGGAGATGTGTATGGGCAAGCTCACAATCTCATGGAACGGTTTAGAATCGGTGGCAGATCAGCAGGTACAGGTTACTAGTTTGTGGGAGATTATGTTGACAGGATATCATTCCATTGAAACAGTTACACTGCTTGTAGCTCTTAAGGTTCATTACCATGGATGCACCATCATTCTTCTAGGGAATCATGACAGCAGACAGATCACACAACATTATGGTTTCTATGATGAATGTTTAAGAAAATATGGAAATGCAAATGTTTGGAAATATTTTACAAATCTTTTTAAGTGTCTTCCTCTCACTGCCATGGTGGACGGGCAGATCTTCTGTCTGCTTGGGGACCTCTCACCACCTCTAGGTACACTGGATCCCATCAGAGCACTTGATTGCTTACAAGAAGTTCCCCATGAGGGTCCAATGTGTGACTTGCTGTGGTCAGATCCAGATGACCACAGTGGTTGGGGCGTAGCTCCTCGAGGAGCCAGTTACACCTGTGGGCAAGATATTTCTGAGATGTTTAATCATGCCGGTGGCCTCACATTGGTGTCTAGAGCTCACCAGCTGGTGATGGAGGGATATAGCTGGTGCCATGACCCTAATGTAGTAATGATTTTCAGTGGCATTTCAGCTCCAAACTGTTATCATTGTGGTAGCCAAGCTGCGATCATGGAACTTGATGGCACTGTAAAATACTCTCTCTGGCAGTTTGATCTAGCACATTGTAGAGATGAGCCACGTGTTACTCATTGTACCCCAGTATTTCTGCAATGAAATTTTAAACTTGGACAGTATTGCCATGAACAGTATATAACCTAATGGAATTGGGAAGAGCAACAGTAACTCCACAGTGTCAAAAAATAGTTAACCTTCGAAAAAATTGTGCCATATAAAAATACAAAACTTCTTATGATCCACAGCTGTGGCCACCTTAGAATGAACCAGTTCATTGCACGCTGAAGTGACATCGTTGGTCAAGAAACCAGTTCCTGGCATAGTGCTATTAGTAGTTACTTTGGCTTCCTCCGAGAGGCTGCATGGAATAAGATGTGAAAATTAACACCTTGTGAATACCATAACTTCCGTGTAGTTATAGCTTTACTTAGCATGACTGTAGAAAAGGACAGCAACAAACAATCATTGGGGGTTAATGAGCACTTTAAAAAATAAGTACCAAGACCTCCTTGTACCTGGGAGTTTTGAAATAGTTTTTTTTTTTTTTTTTTTTCGGAATACCATTTAATTTAATTGTATGATTTGTCTGCACTCAGTTTATTCCTTTCTCAAATCTCACCCCTACGTCATTCTTTGTTATTTTCCGGGCCTGGTGAGTTGTTTTGAACATCCTGTAAGATGATGTTATTGCACAGAGCACTGCAGTGTTTTGTTTTGTTTTTTTTTTTTTTTCATAATAAACTTTCAGAACCAAGAAAGCCAGATTTTAATTGTATCAGTTAATAATTTAATAAAGACTGGTGCCATTTATTATAAAAGATAATTGATAAACTTATAAATTCTAGGTAAAGAAAAATAAAAACCAAGGCCACTGCATTAAAGAAAAACCCAGCAAATGTAGACAACTTCATAGGAATTTGGCAAGCAGGAGGAATTGTTGGTTAAGAGAACACTTTTTAAAACAGGAAGATTTTGGTAGGGGAGGTTGAAATGATTCACACAGGAGAGGGCATTGTTGTTAAGCTGAGGCTGGTGAGGCCCCCATTTCTTGTCAGAGTGGCAGTTCGAGTCCTGGCTACTCCAGGCTTCTGATCCAGCCTCCTGCTAATGCAGATGATGGCTCAAGTACCTGGGTTACTACTACTCACATGGGAGAATTCCTGGCTCCAGCCCCAGCACTTGTGGGCACTTGGGGAGCGAATCAGTGGATGGAAGACCTCTCTCAGGCCTCCCTGCCCCCAATCATTCTTTCAAATAAATAAAACTGGCTCCCCTCAGACTTTTCCCCCGGAAAGAAGGAGACTCATTCTCTCATTCCTCAGTCAGCTTTTGAATGTGCATGCTAGCACTGCTAGAGGCTTTGGGATACCGTAGTAAAAGTATATGGAAACCCCAGGCCTCATAGTGCTTATAGTCTAGCCACAGTAATAGAAGCAAAACAATTAGGAAAATTGGGTGCAGCCTTGAAGGATGTGAAGGAACAATTGAGTGGTTATTTGGATGTAGAGAGCTAGAAGAAGCTCCTCTTGAGCCCAGAAGAGACAATTAGGGGAACCGAGGGATGGTTGTGCCATGATGAGGGTCAGGTGAGGTTG